AGTCCTGGACCTAATATCTTGAAACTCGTGCGTGTGTGTGTGTGTGTATGTGTGTGTGTGTGTGCATGTGCACATGCGTGTGAGTGTATGTGTCCAAAATCCCAAGAGAAGAATGGAGGAGAGAGGACTGTAGTGTAGCCAAACCCTTCAGGGGTGGCGGGGTGTGGGGGGGGGAGCATTTATAGCTTTCTGTCTCTTGTGAGCACATGAGCCCAATAACAAAAATTTCTCTAAAAGAAAAAAATAAAGGTCTTCATTGAGGAATCTGACCAATCCACAAAACAAAATCCTTCAAATGATTGAGATTGGGCTATACCATGCAGTGAAATTCAAAAGAGCTTGATTCATGTGTTCAAAGTTTCAAAGAGTTTTTAATTCCTGATCCCAAGACATTAGTGGACAATTGAGGATATCCAGAGAAGACCTGCAACATAAAATACCAAACTAAAACAAAATAAAAAGTAAGATAAAAATGGTATTGGAAACATTACTTAGAGAGGAAAAAATCTCAAGAAAATATTTTGCAGAGATTAGATAGTGCCCCCACAAAATTAGAGCAATACTAAAAAAGGGGGGGTACTTAGAGAATAAAAGGAGCTCTTGGAAATTGAACACATGTAATATATGAAGAATGTAATATAAAAGTTGAGGTGAGATGACCAATCACCTCAGTTGGACTCACAACTGAAAATATCCCATTTCTGGGAAACCTCTCTGTCCCGAGTCACTACTTGGAGGATAAATTAACAAAACTCTTAAGCTGTTGAGAAAAAGGTAAAGAGATGATAATTAGAGGAGTATAGAGGAGGTCCAACGTCCAGAAAGAGAAGGGAGAAAATAGAGGTTCACAGATTTAAGAGCATCACCAAGTCTCTACCATACTAAAAGAAAAGAAACCCACACCAAAGCACATTTTTGGTAAATTTTCAGATTAGTGAGGACAAAAAGAAAGCCTTTGTGCTTTCTTTTGTTTGTTTCTTTTGCTGTCTCTAGAAAGGAAGAACAAACAAGATTATCATCTAATTGATCAAAAGTCAGAATGACTTTGGGCTTCTCAGCCATACTGGTCAGTAGAAATCACTGTAATAATACTTTCAAATTTCTGAAGGAGGCATGGTTGCAGTGGAATAATCACTAGGGTTCTGCTGCATAAGATGGGACCAAACTGGAAATCTGGGTTCAAATCCCAGGCCAACCTGAACGGGCTGGGCACCATGGTGAATGCTTTTGATGTTGGCTAGCTAGGAGGCTAGGGAATAGGATCACAATGTAAAACCCTGCCAAAAGTGCCTATATCTTTCACTCTCTCTGTCTCACTTTCTCCTCCCTCCTTTTCTTTTTTCCCCCTATTTCTCATTAAAGGGAAATTCTTGGAAATGATTTTTCAACTTAGAATTCTATATCAAGTAATTAAATGTAAGGATAGAACAAAGTTTTCAATATACAAGCTGTCAACAATTTGCTTCTGATACTCCATTTTTCTAGGAACCTCTTTTAGGGCTCAATAAATACAGAAGGAGACCAAGAAAGAAGCAATAAGATATTGGAAGTGAGATTGAACAGAAGAGAAGGGCAAAGACAATTCCTAGGACATTGGTAAAGAGAATCATGGGTAAACAACATAGGCAAAGTTTAGAAGACAGCTAGTACAGACTGGAGCATATGCCCTAAACGATATAAACACTGAGGCAACCTGAAGGTGCTCAAGCGAGCCTGGTCAAGATTCTTAGCTCTCTTTGGTCTATCCAAGTGCTAATAAAATTATGCTCTCTCTTCCTAACTTGCTGACTGAATAAGCTGAGTGTGCCATCTGACCCTACAGAAATATTTGGGTTTGACCTACTGAAAACTAGAGTTTGGCCATAGCGAGCCCAGAGGCATAAAACAGAGTAGCACATATTCTCCAAACGATTCCTCCTGATGGAATAGAACTTCATCAGATTCCCTCATGTGGTAAACGCTCTGCTTCCCTTTGATCAGTCAAGCTTGCCTTGCGATGTCCTGAGAAATGATTCATGAACTCTTAACAAAAACACCTGAAGCCTGAATGTAAATCAGAGACTCTTTCAGGCCACCTTTTTCTAAACATCTCCAACTGTCAATAACAGTGCAGCCATTTTTAGTCATTTATTTGCCTGAGAGTAGGTGAACTTGCCAGTAAGAGATATAGAGAGAGGAAGAGAGAGAGAGAGAGAGCATCCTTCAGTGGGGTGTGGTCACACACAATCTTTCCTCCACTTCTCCATCCTGCTGAGATCATGGGCACACACAGATATGTCTGGCATGTTTTTCAAACCAATGGGATCAGGATTCAAACTGCAGTGAGCCATGGAGTATCTGGCTTCCTGTGCAAAGGGCTTATCTCCTACACCACAGACTGGCCCTACCCTTTTCTTATGCAACTAGTCTTGTGCTTGCTATTCAGGTTTCATATCTTTCAAATTTTACAACTGATTAAGAAATACAATTAGATGCTGAGAAAATGATAACTATGTGGTTAAAAAAAGAACAACAAAATTAGTTCACTAAGTGTATATACACTGAATGTGTGTATGCTAAGCCAGTTTCTTCTTTAATGTACAAGTTACACATGTTCTTATTAACGTTGGCTACTAGATGAGGCCAGCAGATGGTGTAATGATTATGTGGCTGGATTCCCACGTAGTCAACCCTAGATGGGGCTGGCAAATGACATAGTGTTTACGTTGCTGGACTCCCACATAGTCGACCACTGTTCAAGTCTTAAACCTGGTGGCTTCAAACTCATGCTGGGTGTGTGTGTGTGCATGCCCACAATCCTGAGAGAATGGAGGAGAAGGGATTGTGTCATGTGGCCATTCCCCTGGGGGGATGATTTCTCACTTTCTGTCTCTCTGGCAAACACATGTATCCTATAACAAAAAATCTCTCTAAAACAAAAAACAAACAAACAAACAAAAGTTGGCGATTAGCATAGTTGTTATTGACCAACAGGAGAGGTGTTAGCTAATGAAGTGAGACAAAATGAAATGAAAGTGTGATAACTGGCAATTAGATGATAAACTCATCAACACAGTAGCAGTGATTGTAGTAGAATCAACTGAATGACAGCTATAACCAGTAGGATAACTTGGTAATGTATCTTTGTGAAAAATCAATAGCTTTAATGTATTGATAATAGAAATATTCTAAAATTGTCATCAAATATAAAACAAAACAAGATAGAATATTATATAGGAAATGTCAGCTTTTTTATAATAAGTGTATGCTTGTGATGTATGTGAAATAAGAATATATATTTGTATTTGCTTGGTTAGTAAACCAAATACTTGAAGAACAAACAGGAAACTAGTAAAACTAAAACACACTTATTTACCCTTTCAACGTATAGGGGGATAAACCCCCTCATTCTGCAAACTTAAAATCCCTAGCGTTACCATTTTTTTTTTTTTTTGGAGAGATTTTCACTGTAGGGCGCGTGTGCTCGCCAGACAGACAGAGAGAGACATAGAGACAGAAAGCGAGAAATCACCCCCCAGGGGGGATGGTTACGCCACAATCCCTTCTCCTCCATTCTCCTCTCGGGATCTTGGGCACGCACGCACACGCGCCTGGCGTGAGTTTTAAGCCACCGGGTCTGGGACACGAACCGCGGTCGGCTACGCGGGAGTCCAGCGACATAGCCATTACGCTAACTGCTGGTTCCCCCTAGCGTTACCATTTTTAACCTTCTTAAAATTTTCTACAAAGTAAATTTTGAACCTATTGCTTGAATATATAAAAAATGGAACACTTCCATTATAATAGTCATGCACAGTGTAAATTTTAGAAAACCAGTGGATAGCTTAATGTTATATTAAGCTTACATTAAAATAGTTTTTATAGTTGAATTTATGTGGTAATGGAATGTCATTTTGATCAATACATATCACTTTACACTAAATTTCTGCTTTGCATAAAGTCAAATATATTCCTTAATTGCTATGAAGCAGAGAAATAATGGAGTACATTATTGAACTCATAGAAAATATCACATTCTTTTGAAAATTTAAATGTTAATGCATTAAGTTTCCACAATATAAGATATCATGTTTGACTCTGAGGGCACAAGGCTGCTGGTTTTATGTTGTAGGGTTCATGTCCTAAGGGTTTTAGTGTGATCACTATCAACTATTTTATGTGTAAAATTTCAGAAACGTAACATATCTTTATATATCTGCAAAACAATTCCTTGTATAGATATACACAATGTACGTAGGATCCTTTTGCAACTTTTCTTTGAAGGCTCAAGACTTCTTGCTCTTGTGGTTTCTGTGTTCTAGTCTTGTAATTTATGACCTTACTTACTAGCTTTCTTCCTCAAAGCTTTTGGCATGCATCCCCTTCCTATGTTAACAACCTTCTCTAGTTATGTCTTAGTTTTCTCCTCTATGTTGAACTCACCTATTTGCTGCACTGCCAGGTTCCCTCCATGACACACTGGAATTGAAGACCTCATTCATTCTTGGCCTGATCCCTTAGCCCTGCTAAACTCAACTCTCTAGTTTACTACACCGTGAACTAACCCAGTTCTTCTCCTATACTCATATGTCAATACCCTCAGTAATGTCCTCCTTTTCTTCTTTAATTTCTTCCAGACCAAATCATGAGTATCTTCAAATTAATTTTCACTGTTCTCTACCCCTTTAATAAAGATTTTTCTATCTTCTTCCTACTCCCTTTGGGATGGACTCTCTCCTTTCTCATACATTGCACTTCTCAATACTTTCAAAAATAAATTTAACTCCTTCAGGAGACACTGTTTTGTTCTGTGTAAGAGGCTGGAGGTGGGTGACAGCAAGGAATGACTCAGAGACAAATAATACACCATGACTGCAGATGTGCTGCAAAGGATGCCTCCTCAGGAGGAGAGATTATCTTCTTTCTAGAAAAGGATTTGGACATATATTTAGAGTAGATCTAGTTCCAAGTATGCTTGACTTTGCCCACTAACATACTCTTTCTGCCTTTCTTCTTCCCAGGATGTGACAATCCCTCACAAGCCTGTTTCGCTCCATCCTTTATATCAGACTAAACTCTATCCTCCTGCTAAGACCCTGCTGCATCCACAGACCCTCTCACATGCTGACTGTCTTACCCCAGGACCCTTCAGTCATTTGTCCTCTTTTTCACTGAGTGATGAACAGCAGAATTCTCATACCCTCCTTAGTCACAGCGCATATAATAAGGTGAGAATTCCCCTCTAATGGATATCATACTGTGCTATATCGTTCAAAACGTAAATGAGGAGGGAAGTTCTATATGAAGAATATTTAGATATTTAACATTTAAATGAATTAAGGATATTAAATATTTGTGTTAAAGCACATTACCTTATAAGCAGTTAATAATTTATCATGAAAATAATAAAATGTATTTTTCCTCTCAATGCCATTTTCTGATTTGTGTTCCTCCATGTAAAAATTCCAAGAGAATGTAAAAGCCTTACAAAGTGCCATTATTAATTTATGTTCTAGTCTTAGTTCAATGTTCTTAAAAAGCTTCTTTAAATTATTCTGTTTTAATGAGAAGGCACTTATAATTACAATCAGTGGGTGAAGAAATATTCAGAATTACTACGGATACCTGCAAAATAATATTAACAATTTATTTTAAAATGTGCTTATATTCTTCAGGGCTTATAGTAATTAGATATATAAAAATAATGATGTGGAATATACATATATGCACACATATGATGTATATACATACCTACAAACACATATATACACATATTCACAGATTATGTACATATGTACACATATATATATACACAAAAATATATGTGCATATATATGTACATATATATGAAATAAAACAAGTAAAAGATTTGCATAATTAGCTTTGGAAGCAACCATAAATGTTCTATTGGAAGCAAGCAACCGTTACTCCATTGGGCTTACATGAAAGTGTTCTTTGCTCTTCTACCTGGCTAGAACAGATTTTCAGATCATGAAACCTTTCCTAAAAGAATTGACTTAATCTTTGACTTTATCTTTTTTCTAAAATTCAAAATCTTGTTTAAAAGCATTTGCTCTCAAAATTCTCTGTATCTAATGAAATACACTTTTATACTTAGAAATTAGTCAAGGTCATCTTATAGAAGGTTTTGAATACTCCTTGGGCCCTTTTTTTGGTTAAACAATGTTATTAAACCTAGCTTAAACATAATCAATCTCACTATTATACAAATAGTTCACTTTTTTATGTTTTTAATGTAATCTATGATGATTATAATAATCCCTAATTAAAAAATTTTAATACCTATTTTCTTCCAACAAAATGTTTTGGGATAAAGTACGGGATGATGTTTTATGAATTTTGTGTCTTACTTTTGGTCTAAAAAAAGTATATCAAGGAAAGTACAATATTTATAAAATGATTTAATGCTATTTGACATTCTCTCTGATTCGATACTTTTCAACAGCTACGCAATCTGTTTAGTTATTAAATAGTTAATAATACTTGATTGAGCCAATATACAGTGTGTTCTAGATGGGAAATCTCATTTTATATACTGTAATGATGTAATTTATATACTGTGAATGAATATAAGTAAGTAAATTTAAAATTAAAACATAGTTAATATACTGGTTATATTCTGATAATATAACTATTTTCTTATAAATTGTCATATATGACAGGGTTATGATTATATTTTATAGATATCAATTTTATGAGATAGCTCAATCTTTGACATTTTGATGGCTTTTCCTGCACCCAGTGTGAGTTTTAAGCTACTAGATCTGGGTCTCGAACCGTGGTCAAGTATGTGGGAGTGCAATGATGTGAATATTGTGCCATCTGCTGGTCCCTCTTTCCTTACTTTCAAGATAGAACTCTATAATATGATATTGGCTTGGCAGATAGGTAGAATAGGTAAAACAGAAGGGAAGCCATGATGAGTCACTGATAGAAAGACTAGAAAACTGGTTAACCTACTTTGTCTTGATGAAACAACATTCTTCTCTATCCTTTTGTCCCTCTTGCCACAATGAGCATTATACTCTATTAAGGTAAAGCAATCAAAACCAGAGACCTAGAACCAGACAAGTTCCGAGTATGGAATTTTGAATCACCAGGCATAATGGAAAGCACAAGCTAAGATAAGCTTAAAAACCAAAAAAATTACCCTCTATACATGAATCATACATGGGGCTAAGAATGAATATGTCCCCTACCTAAAGAATGATGAATGAAATCAATAGAAACCATAATTAAAAACAAAAGGGCACCCATACTATCAGCTCAGATGACCGTTACTTTACAAAACCCACTACTTTCCCCCAAAAGGCCTTATAAAAACTCAGATACCTGATCCTTCAAGGGGATATTCATTTCTTCTTTCCCTCACTGAATAAAATCTGCTTGCTTACCTAGGATCATGGCTCTCTTTCTTTGTGAGCTGTGGACAAGGACCTGTATCCTGCTGCAGGTGCTGGGCCTGATGATCTCCTCACCCTCTGTGTTTTCCGTGTCAATATCACATCATGTCACATAATGATGTTCAGGTATTTTCCTTTTTATCTGAGAATGAACTAGTATTACCCATCTTCCTCTCTCTTCACCAGTCTTATTAAGGAAGATATTCCTCTTTCTTCTTCTTTAAGCCTTGAAAGTGATATAGTTCAGTGGATAAGAGTAAGAGCATGATATCTCTAGTCAATCTGTCTGACTTCATTTCTTGACCCCCATCCCTTCCAGGTCGTAATGGTGTGTAATCACCTCTACCTCCTATGCTTCTATTTACTCGTCTTCAAAGTGGGGGTGGTAATAGTACTCAACTCATTACAGTAATATGGGAATATGATAGACTATTTAGAACAGTGCCTGGGCCGTGACAAGAACCATCTAAGGTTACATCTTATTATTACTAAAATTTCCTAGATTGTTATTCTTATCTCTTCCAGCATTCTCATTCATTCTTTCTCATCTGACACCTCCCCTTTGTATGCAGAAACCTTAAAAAAAAATGAGCATTCTTTTTCTCAGTGATGCTGCAAACACAGCAATTTCAAGATTCCTTTCTCTGAAAAGGGTCAGTAGCCACTATCTTTGTTTTCTTTTTATGAACTCTTTAACCCATCTCGAAAGCATCTGACCTTCACCTCTGCTGCTCAACTGATATTACTCTGTGAGGGGTCGACTGCTTGTCAGCAACTTCCACTAAATTTCTTGAGCCCTTCGTCTCTTTTATCGCTCTGTAGCATTCAACACAGTTGATCATTTACTCCTAAATTTCCTTCCTCACTCTGTTTGTGGGATAATATGTGCATTCTAAATCACAGTTCCTCGGTTTTCTCTGTGGAAACTTCTTGTTCTTTTACCTCTTCTTTCTAGTTGTCTCCCTTCAGCACCCACTCACAGGCCTCAACGATTATCTTATTGCAGATAAGTCTCAAACCCACACTTCCAATTCTGTATCTCCACTGAGATTCTCTTTTATACCTGCAGCTGTTTACTTACCATCTCCCCTGGGATGTCATGCTGTCACTTCAAAATAATCATTCATTTTGCTGCAAACTAGTAGCTTCCCTACTTCTATCAATAATGCCAAAATTTCTAGTCCCTATACTCAAGACTTGATTCATCTGTTATATCATTTTTTTTTTTTCTGCTTTGGTCCTATAGTTAGGCTTTCACCAAGTTGAATGGGTTCTCCATTTGGTTTGCCTGTCATATTCTTTCACACTGTTCTTTATAATTTTTCTACTTTATTTAAACTGATTTACCTAATTTCCTCCAAGGATGCCTTGGTTATTTTATCATTTGACTAGCTCATACGATGCATTTCCCCAATATAAAATACCTTCTTACTTTTCTTCTTACATATATAAATAATTCATGAGTTTTAAGAACTAGTCAAAATGTTTCTCTTTCTCTGGGAAGTTTCTCTGTGCATCAACGTGTAAGTTAATTTTTTTTTCTCCTGTCGGTTTCTGTAATCCTCAGTCATGCCAAACCATCTTGTGCATAATATAGATTCTCTTGTGTTTGTCATGCTTGTCTTAGTGCCCATCTAAGGTAGACATGCTTCATAAACACACTTCTTTTCAACATGATATATTTCGCAATGAATACATATTTATGATTAACAAGCCTTGAAATGACCCAACTGTTACACTAGGAGTCCCAGATAGTTGAATAATTAGGATTATTTCTATTTTAATAGAAAACTAAATCTGAGTTAACTTAAGGATTTATCAGCACCTCTAGAATAATTTCAGTCAGTTGAGGATATCTCTTTTATTGAAGACTGTATCTTATTTACAGAGAGCTGATGGGGTACAGTGGCATGGGAGAATAGATAATGTGCAAATATGGAGGCAGGGGGCATCCAATCTTCTTCCATTATATGTGGATTCTGGAATTCACTGGGGTGTGCTTACTCCTATCTGGTGTATGGTCATTATTTGTACAATGTAGGCTACATCCTTTTTCCTTTACTCACATGGCATGCTCAGAAGGACTAGGTCAGCTCTTTCTGTGCCCCTACTGCATACATGAAAAAACATTGATACCTACATGCTGGGAGCAGGTAAAACTCAGCGATGCTGTCTCAGAACCATCACTCTAGAAGCTCTATGTGTTCTTCTCCACACTTTTATTTCTGATCCCTTCGCCGTGGTGAACTCCAAAAGAGTCTGTATTTGTGAATTTGCCTACTCGCTAAAATATATCATACTCACTATGCTTGCTTTTTTGGTCATCTGTGGATATGTACAGAACTGGGAAAATTTGAGTCACCTGTACATGTTTCCAGCTGAGGCTGAACAAGGCAATAATAAACTATCTCATTTCAGCTGTCATACTGTGGTATGTGTCCTTTCTGTGGTCTCTAAAACCATGGTTTTTGTTTTGCTTTGTTTTGCTGGGGTCTTTTGTATTGTGTTTTTAGCATTTTTATGCATTTTGTTTGTAACTTTGCTGTTTAAAATGACCTGATTATAGTATTGAAGTGCTGTCTACTGTTCCTTAGTGCAAGATATGTGATATATCATACAAGAAAAATAAACATGTCAGGCAAGCTTTTATTAGGCATGAATTATAGTGCTGTTGGGTATGATTTCAGTATTAATGAACTGGTAATATATTAAATATGTGTCTTTAAACAGAAACACACAGAAGACACATTATATTTTTGATTTGTTGATGAAATTGTGGCTAGAGACTAGTGGAAACTTAGTCC